TCTCTTCTAATTTTTTTTGTGTGTGTGTCTTGATATTTTGCCCGGGCTGGTTTTAAATTTTTGTGATTATACAGTGTGCTCACCAGGATAATTCAATATAATCCTATTTTAAAGCCAGCCGATCAGCAACACTGATTCTATCTGCAACCTTAATCTTCCTTTCCCATGTAAGGCAACATAGTCACAGATTCTGGGGATCAGGACTTGGACCTCTTGGATGCGTCACTCTTCTGCCTCAGAGCACATTGAGAGTTGTCGATGTGGAGATGACTGGCAGTGCTTTGGCAGGTGCTCCAGGACAGGCAGGGACCTTTTGCCTCTGCATCATGTGGAGAAGGTCTCCAAAGGGTGGCTCCTCAGGGCTGTTAAGGGCCAGCAGGGCCGGTGTGTGCTTCATCTCTGTGGGCACTCTGCTTTCCTCTCCCTGCGCTCCCAGCTGTGTCTGGGTGAACTCCAGGGCTGCCTCAGTCTCGTGCTGGTGGATCAGCTCAATCAAATGCTGTTGCTCCAACTGGGATAATCTTTAGACATGCTGAATTTTGAAGCCATATGACTTCAGAATGCTTGTTCCATTGCTTCTGGCTTCCACTCCAACAATGTTTGTGCTGTCACTTTCCACATGGGTAAACCCACAGCAGGAAGGGAGCCTCTGGATGGTAACAGGGCTCCATTGCAGAAGTGGAGGTCGGTAAGCAGAAGGAGGCCAATTCCCATCCAGTCTCTGCTTTCCACATTTTGATCAATCCTTGGTTGTCTGTGGTGACAAAAAGTTGCAGCTGAGGATAAGTCACCAAATTTTTCAGAGGAACAGGCTGCCGAGGGCTGGACCAGATCTCTGTGCCCTGACATCCAAAGTTAAATTAGTAAGCCTGAAAATCATTTCAGCTCATAGTTTGCAGAGGTTTTAGTCCATAGTCAGCTGGCTCCAAAACAGGGTGGAATAGCAGAGCGGGATGGCAGAGAAGAAATAGTTCATGGCAAGCAGGCAGGAGACAGCAAAGCAATAGGGGCAGCAAATAGCTTGTTACAGCTTTTAATGGTTTGGATCTCAAAAGTCACCCAGAGGCTCATGCATTGAAGGTCTGGTCTCCAGCCTGTGGTGCTGTTGGGAGATGATGGAAGCTTTAGGAGGTGGAGCCTAGTGGAAGAAAGATAGGTCATTGGGGTGTACCCTTGAAGGGGATAATCAGATCTCTCTCTCTCTTCTCTCTCTTGTCTCCTCTCTCTCTCTCTCCTTCCTGTCTACCATGAGTTGGGTAGCTTTATTATACCATGATTTTCTGCCTTGCCAAAAGTCCAAGGTGACCGGGCCAAGAAACCACGTGCTGAATCTTTTGAAACTGTGAGTCAAGTCTTTCCTCGTTTTAAGTTGTTCTTGTCAAATGTTTTGTTAAGGGAACAGAAAACTGTCAAACACATAGCTAAAGCAAGAGAAGAAGCAAACCCAGCAATCAGTCTGCATTTAATGGAGTAAAATATTACCATTTGCTTGAGGCTCTATACTTGGGTGCAAGGTTAGCACCCTGAGTCTGGTCCTGTTGTGAAGTGTTGGTGGCTTGCGTAATAACACAGACTTGTGCAAAACAGATTTTCATTTATTTGATGAGTTTTAGTGTATTGACACCCACAAGAAACTTTAACAAAATAAGAAATCTTCATAAGATAAAATCAAGAACTGGGAGACCCATTTGCTGTCTTATCTAGTTTCTGACACATGTAACTATTGGACAGTTTCTGCCAAGAAATGTATCATTTTCAGTAGCTTTCTTTTCTCTGGGTTTCGCTTTTCTCAAACATAAGAAGGGGAAATCTACTTCAAGGAATTCTCGATTTCCATTTGGTCAGAATATAAGGGAGAAGGTGTTAGCGCCAGAGAAGATAGAATAAAGGAGAGAGAATGTTGTCCTTCCCCATCTTTTCACATCATCTAACAGTATCCCTTCAGAGGGAAGTTAGGAAGTCTTTCAACCCAGCATTTTCCCCTTCAAAAACTGATCATCTCTTTTTAATCTAGCAGTTTCCTATCCTTCAGGATATGAATGATAGTACTTTTCAACCTACAGCTATTCAGACTGTCATATGAGAGCTGGTTCCAGGTTCTTATCATCTTTTAAAGTAATGATTCTGAAGAAATCCCCTCTCTCCTCCCACGCTTCACTCAGGTTATGGAAATTATGGAGAAAATTCATATTCATCCAGGACACACGTCTGTCCTTTCCTTAAATAAGCATTGGGCTCAGTTCTCTGGGCAGGATTAGCCACAGCTAAATCACATGGAGGGAGGTGTGAAAGAAAACAGTTTTGTAGTCAGAATAAAGGAGACAGAATAATGAGCTGGTAAAAATAGTAAATGTTTCCACATTTACAAAAGTCCTTTGAAAAGTCATGTAACAATATATGATAGTATAGCATTGATTGGTTTCTCTCCTTCTGGTATAGGTTTGAAATATTGGTAAAAAGTAGAGCCATTGTATTAACAAATATAGCAAACATTGGCAGTGTGCCCTACTTCATCAGTTTTTAGTACAGGCAGTCAAATCTCTTACTTTTCCATTTAGTAGTTCAAGTGCCTACATGCCTTTATTAATAGAAATTCTAATACATCCCTCATAAGTCTCCAGTTAACACTGATCAACTCCAAACAGAGTTGATCCCTGGTGTCCTTTGGGATTCTTTCTTGCTTTTGTGTTCATTGTCATATTTTGTCTTTAGAGCTGGTACTGCACTGTCCCAGCACTGGGCCCTCTAATTCTGACCCTCTCAGCTGGCCACTTCTTGGGTTCCAGGTCACACACCCATATACTATCGCCAACACTCAAGCCAAGGGAGTGGTTTTGAATTTCAGCTTAACACTATACAGGGGGTGGCCAATTCCAGGTATTTTGGGGCGGCCAATTCCAGGTATTTGGGGACCAATACAATGAGATCGAAAAGCCACTCCCCATTCCTGGTGAGTTTTCCTTTGGGATCTTAGGATGTCTTTCCTTGACTAGGTCATGGCACCCAGTTTTTACCCAGTGGTGTCTATTCCTTTGAGCCTGGGTTACTACCCACAGGAAGTGTGAAAACATTCTCTGGAAGGCATATGGGCTCCTGGATTACCAAGAAAATTGTTTTATCTTCTTTTCCCAAGCCTCTGGGAAGGTAAAGTTTTTAATGCACCTTTCCCTAGGGCAAGAGGTACTTTTTAACTTTAATTTTTAGAGAACATTCAATCTACTCTTCCAGGAACAAAAACAGAATCTTCCCCAAGGAGACTTTCTCTTTCCAGATGGTAAGAGGCCGGCGTAATTGTTTTAAAAATTCTCTCTCCGTGAGCATCCTATTAACACCATGTAAGTCTGGACTTTCTGCTTCAAGCTTGCCCCTCCTGGTGTGTCCCCCAAGTTAATGACAGGTCTCTGCACCTGAAGATACAGGGAGAAATCTGGAGGTCAGGTTTGGCTTTTCCTTTTTACATCTCTACTACATTTGAGGAAATAACAATTCCTGTCATTTCTATTTCCTAAATGTCAGTGGGTTCTGTACACTTCCTCCCATCCCTATCTCCACTAGTTTCCTTAATGGCTCGTATGAATTTCTGTGATGGATCATCCTGATCACATTGCAGCTAGGGCATTTACTAAAATGCAAATGGGATCATGTGATTTCCCCATGCACAACTTACAAGTGACTTCTCATTGCCTTTAGGCATAGCTCAAGAAACCAGCCAACATCTTTTTCACCTTCCCCACTTCATCTCTCACTGTTTCTGTTTTCAAAATGTGTTTCACCCATACCAGCCTCTTTGCACTTCCTTGGGAGCTGTAGGCTCTCTCAAACCTCTGGACCCATTGCATGTTCGGTTTTTGTTTCTGGAAACCTCATCCTCCCCTATGTTGTCTGTGTTACCACTTAATGGTCAGAATGCCGATTTCCCCTCACTGGTATAGCTGTCCCTACCATGGATCCTGTATACCTGTCAGCATGTTACACTCTGTCACTGCTCCTCAAATGTCCTTTTCTGTGAAGACACCTGGCTTATCTACCTACACACTATCATGTTCCCAGAGGCTAGAACAGCACCTACCACAGTACATGACAGACACCTAATACATATTTACTTAAATAGTAAATACATTAATAAATCATGGGAGACAGTGGTCTTTGGGAGAGTGTTTTCAATAGCAGTCAGAAGGTGTGAATTTTTCTCACCTTTTCTCACTCCTTTTCTGTAAGATTTACCTTTTCCACCTTACTGAACAGTCACACCCTAATGTGAGAGAATCTTGTCCTGAGTCAGGGCTCCGGGCCCAGCACTGGGCTTCTGGAGGACTCTCTCAGCTCTTTTGATTAACTTTCATATTTTCTACCTGTGACCCTGTCTGCTACAGAAAGAAATGTAAATGTCATGCATGCACCTCAGAATAGGAAAAAAAGCATTTGAAGTTCCCTGAGTAAGATGACTGATTAGGCTAACTGTGAATTTCCAGTACTCTTGAAGTGAAATAATGGTCCCTGAGGTAAAATTATCCAGCAAGAATAATGTTGCAAGCTGATAACACCAACTTTCTGACCTAAGGGTGGTCTTTTCTCCCTCTGAGAAACGTATTTCTACCAACAACAGTAAGGAAACTGCTATCTGGACTGGAGTTCCTGTGACTACATTAGACATGGGGTGTGCAGGCAGTGGCTGGCTATTCATACTAATTTTCTCCTCTTAAAAATGCATTTAGAAAACTATTCAATTCTTGTAAAGCAAAACGTACATCTTTTTTGTTACAGTATATTTAAAAAAATGGCAAATCATAAACTATTGACCTTAAGAGAAATTCAATAAATCATTAAAAAGCTGCTTCTTGCAAGCCTAGCTCTGACTAATTTCTTACTCTTGGCATTATCGGATGCATTAAGACTTTAGTCACCCTTACCAACTGCCTACATATTGCACACTGTGGCAGCCTTCTGCCAAATGTGAGCTTCTGAATCAGGGTGAGAGGATTTTCTCCTGGCTTCCAATGTATTATTTATGAATTTATTTTGCAAGGTGGAGGGAGTGGAGCCCAAATCACTGGATTCTCTGCAGTCCATGTGGTGAAACATGCCCATCTGTAGACAGACGCCGTCCGCTGCAGAGTAGCCAGATGAGACTGCTCACTCAGAGGCGGGGGAGCTTCTCCTGGACAGGATCATTCTCACCTGGAGGAAATAATAGGACCAAGAGAGCCAAAAGTGTCAGTCGTGGGCTAGTCTCATTTTGAGAGAATAAGCATGGGGATAAATATTTTGGTTTACTTTACTTTTTTCCTTAAGTTTTACAATTCCATTTACCTAAACCTCTCTTCTTAACGATTCAAATGATACAGATATATGTAACATCATCTAAAGTATGCTCGAGTTTTCTCATTTCCATTTGTCCCCATATGTTTTTCTAATTTTATGTTTTTGTGACTATCCAAACATATTGACGCATGTGTATAGGAGCTTTGATTTCATTCTATTTAGAAATATTTATTACATAGAGGTTCACACTCAGCAAACTGCATTACTACCTGCTTTTCCTTTTTAAACTCAATACGTGGTGTAAGTCCCCAGTGGTCCTGTCTTCTGAACTCCAGAGATCTCTGCTCTGAGGCATGAATGTGGTTGGTGTGTTCTCGGGTCCACTCCTGTGTCATGTGTTCCTGTTTTCTCTCTCCAGCTAGGTTTAAAGACAAAGACAGCAACATCCTCTCTCTCTTCCAGGACTCAGCACTCAATAACAGACCATTTAACCAACTTGCAGGGCTAAAATTCAATTTAATTAACTTAAAGGGAGGTGTTTTTGTAGGCACATTCTTTGGAGCAATGGTTTTGTGTTTGTTGGCCACTAACCAATCACCACACCTGTGTGCAGAGCCAAATATCTGTGCAAGTGAAATAAAGCAAACAATTATGCAATTACTCAGCTATTTCAGGGACAGAAGGGAGTGCTACCCAAATGACTCAGGTGATACTGGCTTAGAAACCTTCAGAAGAAGAAACACTCCTTTCTTTTATTAAAATATTTCAACAACACGTGGATGAATCTTCTTGGAGTGGAACAGGTTTCCTCGCTGGGCAGGAATCCCTTGCAAGAATTCCCCCAGGTAATTGTGAGTCATCTTTTGTATTTGAAATTATGATCACATAACCAGGCACTGTGCTGGAAGTGGGAAGCCAGTGCTGAAATGGAAATCCATAGGCTCCTGTCCTCAGGGGGCTCACAGTTTATATTAGTTTCCCAGGGCTGCTGTAACAAAGTACCATAACCTGAATGGCCTTAAACAATAGAAATGTACCTCTCAGTGTTCTGGAATCAGGACGTCTGGAATTAGGGTGTTGGCAGGACCACAATCTTGAAGACTCTTGGGAAGACCCTTTTGCCTTTCCTGGCATCTGATGACCCCGGTGTTCTCGTCTTGAGGCAGCATCTCTGTAATCTCTGCCTCCATTTCCACATGATGTCCTCCCTCTGTGCCACTGTGTCTCTGTGATATTGTCCTCATGTGTCAGTATCTTTGTCTACATTTCCCTCCATGTGTAAGAGAAGTAGTCACATTGGATTAAGGCTGATAAGAATGACCTCATTTTAACTAGCTAGATCTGCAAAGACTTTAATCCCAAATAAAGACATGCTCACATAGACTTAGGACTTCACTATTTTTTTTTTTTTTGAGTTGGGGGATCCAGTATGATCCATATCAGAGACTAATATTTCACCTTAGTGAGCCAGACAGGCATTTGGTCAAATCATTAGGGAAACAGATACTTGATAACAAAAGGAAAAAGGCTACAGAGGAGAGAGACAAGCTCACATAATGGGAATTCAAGAGGGCAGGATTCCTGTCAACGTGGGCAGGATTCTCCAGAAGCAATGATTGGCTAAAGAAGTATTATCACAGTACAGAAGGAAAGGAAGAGCAGGTTTCAGCAAAGCTATCAGCACATGCAAATATCCCAAGACTTGAGTGACTCCAGTGGAGAGAGCAAAGGGGTGTTTGATTAAGACGACTAATGCTCAAGAAGGTACCATCATTGCAGACATTCACCATCTCCTAACCGTGGAGGCCTGGAGATTCGACACTGGGCACTGTGTCCTCCCAAGAGAAGCAGAGAGAGACTGAGGGGTTCATGCAGAGGGCAGCTCATCAGACATGCACATCATGGCCGTCAGCCCAGATGGAGTGTGGAGGACAGATGGGGCAGTGCAGACTGGATATGCATAGATCAGACAGGAAGCTTTGGCAGTGTAAGACAACAAGGCTGGAACTGGGCGGAGGAGCTGCTCTCTGTAGAAGAGGGAAAATTTCAAAAACCTATTTGGAAGATAAAACAAAATAGAAATGGGGGTTGATGGGATATCAGGCAAGGACCTTGCTAAGGATGGTGTGGAGGCTCCTGACTGGGAAGGCTGGTGGTGACTTCGCTGAGCTGGGGAGCTCTGAAAGAGCACCTGGTTTGGGAAGGGGTGATCATGAAAACAGGTTCGACTGAGGTGAAGTCAGACAAGAGCAGTTGTCAAGCAAGCAGAGGGATGTACAGGGCCCTGTTGGAGGCATCCAATCCTTAGTGAGTAAACTCCAATATAAACCTGAACAAAGAGTTTGGGTGGAGGCCTGGCCTCCCCTACATGCTCAGGGTAAGATCCAGGGCTTTTGGGGGATTCTGGAGCAGGCTTTAAAACACAGAGAACAACATATTGTATTCACCATGTATTAACTGTAATTTTGGTAGCCGCCTTTGAACAGTGGACAGGGAGCCTGCTATTTAGTACAAAGGCCTAGAGAATGGAATCTTTTACTTTTTATTATTTCATTTATTTTTGTTGTGGTGCTGGGGATAACAAGGTTAACTGAGAGGACAGAAATAGTGTATGATTGAGCAGATTTTATTTTCTCCGTAGAATATTTCAGTAATATAACAGGGTAATTCATGATTGCTCATTGTTCTTTTGCATCAGAGAGCGAGACTTACATCCAATAAAGCCATATAAAAGCTTGTGAAGTATCACTTTCCCTAACCTTGGAAGCATCTCTCAACCCATCAAGACTTTACTTTTCCCTCTGTCCTCTTGATAACATCTACTTTGTCTTTCTTCCCAGCACTTTCTCTCTGCTTTCCTGGGAGGCACTTGTCACCTAAGTAATTTAAAACTGTTTGTAGCCCATTCTCTTGTTGCTTGCTCCTTCAGGCTCTGGCTAGGTTGCTTCCTCCCTTGGCTTTCAGCTCACTCCTCACTAAGCATGCAGCTCTCCATAAAGGAGAGAGAGGTCCTTCTCCCTCTGGGGGTGACCTCACTCTGCTCCTGGAGCCCAGCCCTGCACTAGCTTCTCATGCCCTGTGCCACTTTCTTACATCTCACCTTGCTTTGATTATTCAGACTCTCTAAGACTGAAAAGAGAAAGCTTGTTCTCTTCAAGCTGGCTCTAATCTTGAGATGATTTCTTTCCAACTGGGGGAGAAGTTACCTTAGCAACTAATTAACTCAATTAACTTTCCCCATCCTCCTTTATCAATATTCAATTAACATTCAGTAGTTTCTTTGCTGTGCTCCGTGGTTTTATAACCTGTGGAGCAAAGAGCTGATGTGGAATAAGGACCGAGAGGAACAAGGTTGGGAGGGAGTGCCTCGGAGGGGCCCAGGAGAGGCATAGAGGAAGAGCCAGGAGCTGAGGGCATTTCTGCCATCCCTCCTGGGCACATTCAAGGCTCCTGAATACAACTTAGATAAAACTCCTGGGAATGGAGAGGGTAGTGACAAAACTCTGGGGTGGCAAAGATTAAATTTCAGGTACTTAATACAGTGGAAGCTTAGGAAGAGAAACAGATAGATTTAAGAAAATATTTACTTCTTTGGATCTTAAGTTTATAGACAGATTCATATTACAATTGAAAGTAATGGAGAGCAATGAACTGACATCTACTAAGTGCATAAGCTATCTTTACTGAGAAGGTCAAGAAGTAGAACCTGGTTTTACCCTAAAAAGGGTGAAAGGGGAAATGAGTTGACTAGAAATCTTTCTCTCCCTTCTGTTGCTGAAGCTAAGAAATATTCTAATCCTCATATTGGTTTAGAAAATCAAACATTTTTCTCCCCTTCTCCCAATGTAGAAGCAAATTGCTCAATAGGAAATTTGCCATCCATCACTTCATTTGTTTCTTTAACCTCATAATCACCTGCTCTAGAAACTCTTTTCCTTTGTTACCCTCCCCTGTAACAACAGGAGCCATTCTAAAATAAAGTATTGTGATCTGCACAGTTTATTCTTTCTCCTTTTGCTTCTGGCTTCCAAGGGGTGGTGGATATTGCATTTAGGGGGTAACTTCTCTAACTGTGGTACTGATCCAACATACACAGCCTTCCAAAGTCTCCCTGAATTTCCCTTTTCCTCCTTTTCTATCATTTCAGGGATGCTTTGGGACACAAATTTGTTTTATTGCTTTGAGGAGGGGGAGATTTGTGAATATGTATTTCCTTTAATGAAAGACAAAGCAAGAATATAGTGCAAACACTCAAGAATCTTTATTCCAAGCCACTGGAAATGGTTGTATTTGAAAAGGTTAATTTGGGAAGAGCTTGTATTCTTTGGCGCATATGAAATATTACAATTACCATCCTTTATCGAGCCCTAACTACAGGCTCTACATCCTGTAAAATGGACAACTCCTGTAACTCTATTTCCCCCAGCAGCCCTGTGAGAGGATAAGGAATTTCCCTGAGCTCATACAGTCAGGAAGTGAAAATTTAAGTATGGGATTTGGAGTAGTACAACTTGAAAGTCAATATTATTTCCCAGTATAAGCATTAAAAAAGTTATGTAGTTGTGTATTTGGTAATGCCTTACATTATTTCCTCTTAAACTTTCAGAAAGCATATTAGCATAATACAGATGGAAAATTCCTGGGGAAGTGAGTCTGTTTGGCATATAGAATTTATTTGACCCTGGGGCTTTGTTTTTTAATTTTTCAGGGGCCATCTATTAACACGTAGTGGATCTAGTGTGTAGAATAGCTTTACTCACCCCATGGAAAAAGCTATGTTTATACCTGGGATTACAAAGGACTTAACACAGGGTTATCTGAAGTTCAGGAGCGAGCTGACTTTAGAAGGAATGTTTTATAATGTAGAGGAGGAAACTAAGGAGTAGAAAAAATATATTTTGAAATATCTAAAATATACATCTACCATCACATAAAAGAGGATGAATTAGTTGCTTTTCAAATGTCCATAAGTGGTAGAATAAAACCAATGCATAGATCTTGGTTCTACTTGGGAAAAACTTTCTAATGGAAGTGCCCAAGACTAGATAAACCATCATTGGAAGCGATTGACCATAGGCTCCATGCTGCTTGGTGAAAACAGTGCTCTAATATCATCTGAGCTCTTGAATGACTGACCTTTAGAAACATTGCCAAACAACAGCTTCTGTTTTTATTTAAACTGGTTAATCTCATTTAAAATATACCAATTTAACAATAAGCAGTTGGTGCACCAGTTTATAATTGCATAGAAAATAATCAATTGCTTAGCAAACAATAAATTGTATGCTTTGTTCTTTGGATTCTGCAATTTCTTTCAGCAGTGTGTACTGTAGGGCAGTGTTGCCAATATCCACATTTTCTTCCAGAAATGGGCATTCTTTTTCTGTGTGCATTTTTCTTTACAGATTGGTTATTGCCTTAGGGGCTCAGGAAGGGTCTCAGGAAGAGCGCCAATGATGTAAAATTGGTGTGATTTTCTGTGGTGCCAGTATGTCAGAATTCTTTATTTCTCTACAGATGGTTATACACTTTTGATAGAAAAGGTCTAGGTAAGCAGATGAGACTTTAAACACCTTATTTATGTTACTTAAATAAACCTTCATTAAATATATTTGCAATA